CTTCCACTGACATCCCGTTTCTTTAGAATTTGAAAAACCTTAATTCCTTGGGTAAATAACATAATTTTCTTCTCCATCTCATTATTGTGGCTAGAGCACTCAACTGAGATTCAGGAGACTGGCTGTTCGATGCCCAGCTCTGCCATTGGATTGCTGGGTAATCTGAGGTTGAACAAGGACAAGTGCAGAGTCCTGCACTTAGGACGGAAGAATCCCATGCACTGCTACAGACTAGGGACCGAGTGGCTAGGCAGCAGTTCTGCAGAAAAGGACCTTGGGGTTACAGTGGACAAGAAGCTGGATATGAGTCAACAGTGTGCCCTTGTTGCCAAGAAAGCTAACGGTATTTTGGGCTGTATAAGTAGGGACATTGCCAGTAGATCGAGAGACGTGATCATTCCCCTCTATTCGACATTGGTGAGGCCTCATCTGGAGTACTGTGTCCCAGGGCTGCCCACGGGGGGGGGGGGAGCAAGTGGGGCAATTTGCCCCGGGCCCCACAGTGTCCCCAACGAGAATATAGTATTCTATAGTATTGCAACTTTTTTTTATGGAAGGGGCCCCCAAAATTGCTTTGCCCCAGACCCCCTGAATCCTCTGGGCAGCCCTGCTATGTTCAGTTTTGGGCCCCACACTACAAGAAGGATGTGGAAAAATTGGAAAGAGTCCAGCGGAGGGCAACAAAAATGATTAGGGGGCTGGAGCTCATGACTTATGAGAAGAGGCTGAGGGAACTGGGATTGTTTAGTCTGCAGAAGAGAAGAATGAGGGGGGATTTGATAGCTGCTTTCAACTACCTGAAAGGGGGTTCCAAAGAGGATGGATCTAGACTGTTCTCAGTGGTACCAGAAGACAGAAGAAGGAGTAATGGTCTCAAGTTGCAGTGGGGGAGGTTTAAGTTGGATATTAGGAAAAACCTTTTCACTAGGAGGGTGGTGAAGCACTGGAATGGGTTACCTAGGGAGGTGGTGGAATCTCCTTCCTTAGAGGTTTTTAAGGTCAGGCTTGACAAAGCCCTGGCCGGGATGATTTAGTTGGGAATTGGTCCTGGTTTGAGCAGGGGGTTGGACTAGATACCTCCTGAGGTCCCTTTCAACCCTGATATTCTATGATTCTATTCTATTATTCTAAGTCATTTCAACTCCCTGTGCCTCAGCTTTCTCATTTCTGAAATGGGGATAATGATGATCACTTCTTTTGTTAAGTGCTTTTAGATCTACAAATGTAAAGTGCAATATAAAGGCTAGGTGGTGGTGGTGTTTTTAAAAAGTGTTCTCTTCTTTGGATTTCCCAGCGTGTCCTTACTTCTCCCATGTCTGTCTTCTAGATCATGAGATCTTCTGGGAGAGACTCTCTCCACATTAGTGTCTTGTACAGCTCAGACCTAACCATGTCACAAACATTATTGTTATTATTTGTATTCTGGTAGCACTTAGAAGCCTCAAACATAGAGCAGGGACCCACAGTGCTAGTTGCTAAACAAACACCTAAGAAGCGACAGTCCCTGCCCCAAAGAGTCTACAGTCCAAATACAAGTGCTTGTCTACACAGGGCTATTGGCCAACATAGCTATAACGGAATAATTATTCCACGGTAGCTATTCTGGAATAACTCCCTGTATGGTTACTGGATTCTGAAATAAAAGTGACTTTATTCTGGAATAGTTGTTCCGCTTCCAAAGGCCTAAAACAAGAGAGACTCCAATGTGTACCAATAATGACCTTTTCAAAGTTATGAAGCCTCATGTCAAATCAAAATGTGAATTTCTGCCTCTTATCTCTCTGACACATCTATCTGAAGTTTTATTCTGTGTGTGTACCTGTCTAGATGCCTGAGCCAAAGCCCATTGAAGTCAATGAAAAGAGTCCCAACGATTGGTGGATTTTGGATTAGGCCCTATCTACCTGTATTACATGGTATTAGTGGGATTTGTAGAACAACAAATTTGTCTGCAAATGATGGAGTAAGTTTGAGCCAGTCTAGAGGGTCACTTGCCATGGGAGATCTCAGCTCAGAGAATATCACACGA